AAGGAAAAGGAAAAGGAAAAGGAAAAGGAAAAGGAAAAGGAAAAGGAAAAGGAAAAGGAAAAGGAAAAGGAAAAGGAAAAGGAAAAGGAAAAGGAGTCCCTGTGGGGGCAGTTCCAAGCTGTTGAAGACAGAGAGGAGTCTCTTGTGCAGGGAATTAATGTTCCATCCATGGATCAAGTGAGGCCAGAGAGGGGAAAACAACTCAGAACTTCTGATAGGGAAGTTCCACATCTTGTTGCTGTTGGGGGGTGGGACTGGGCTGGACTCCAGTTGTGCTCCCCACCAGGAAGAGCTGAGGCAGCTCAGCAGTGGCTGCTGGGGCATTCGCTTCCACCAGGAGCATTTGAACCCAGAGCTGATGCAGAAAAGGACTTTGGAAAATAACCCAAATCTGATCCAAAAAGAGACTTTGGAAAGCTGGGAATGGGAAAAGGACTAAAGAAAAACCATCAAACAGGAGCCTTAGAGAGCAGCCCTTGCTTCCAAACCCAGCAGCCACCAGACAGAGGAGCAAGGAAATGATCAGTGATGGATGAGTGGTGTAATTCATTATGGAGCCTTAACGAGCAGGAGCTCAGAAAGAAGAGGAAAACACTTGAAGCAGGTCTTGAAAAGCTGCTCCACAGCAAGAGATTAAAGGAGTTCACTGCACTCCTGTTCTCCAGACTGCAGGAGATTATTTTATCTACCATTGCTTCATAAAGGAGAAGTGCTACAAGGAAAAAAGCAAAATTACATCCAGTGAAAAACCAAACCTTGCTAATTCAGACTAAACTCACCAGATATTTTTTTAGTAGGAAGAGTAAACGTGAATGTATTCCATCAACAGGGGACGGCTGATTCCCTAACACTGAATCCTTAAAACAACAACCAGGGATTGGCAGGAGATGGAGAAGGTGGGCAGAGAATCTGAGATCATTCCCTGACCATTCTTTCTATGTGGCCTCTCTTAATTATTGTTTTTCTCTTCTCAATCTCATTTTTCCCCACAGATCAGGTGGAGGAGAAGGTTTCTGGCCTGCCATGCAGAGGTCACCACACAAGGAGCAGGGCAGGGACACTTTGAAAAGAGCAGCTCAAGCTCAGCCTGAAATCCCAAAAGAGGAGATTAATCCTGTGACAGTCCTGGATCAAAATGCTACATTCCCCCAAATTTGGGGATAATTGGTTCTCCAAGTGTTACTCAAATTGCTGAATAAAAACCAAATCCAAAGCTGATGAAAATCACCCCCTAGAAATGCAGTGACAGCTCCTTGTCATCGTCAGCCCATAAATGGGCATTCTCCACACACCAGACAAAGAACTTCCCCCCAAACCTGAATGAATAAACATTAAATTAGCTCTTTTTTGTCACTTAGAAACCACATTCTACGAGGATTTTCCAGCTGTGGTTTTAGGATGCTAATTTAATTAGGGTAGGAACTCATGCCCTGCCTTGGAAATGAAAGCTGCAGCTTTATGAAGAGTGATGGTTGTCAGAGAGCTCTTCTTAAAATTCTCTTCTCATTTTCTGAGATTCACTGGAGACCAAAGTGGCATTTTTTTATCTGCACGAGATCTGCTGATTTTCTGATCTGATTTTTTTATCTGCTTGGAACACCCCAGGGGTTTTCCCTTGACAAGAGACCCTGCTGGGAATGCAAACTGCAGGAACACCCCAAGGAACCCAAACCCTGGCCAGGAGCCACCCCATTGTTTGGGGGGTGGGGACAGAAAACAAGGAGGGAGAGGCAATATGGGCTGTGGTGACAATGCTTTGTAAACTGAAAACCAGACACAAATCCAAGGATTTCTTCAAATGCCAGGCCAGGGGTCAGGTTGGGAAATCCCTGCCTCAGCCTCAGCCCAAATCCTTAAGGAAATGTGGATGTCAAAGGGCAAATGCTGGGATTAGAAATGCGTTCATGGCAATGATGAAGATCAAAGCAAAGGGGTCTTTGCAAAGAAAAGAAATTCCACATTTTCCAGCTCTTTGGAATAGATTGTGGGTTGATTTGCATTTAGGAACTGAGTCCAGGGGTGTTTTTGGGTAATTCCATGTTTTCTGCTGGTTCTCTCAGTCATCCTCTGGAGGAGACTCCCACCCATGTGGGGTCTGCCCCTGGCTGCTCCAGGGAGTTGGGATGGGCAGGGTTAATCTGAATTAACTCCAACACTGAACAATCAGAGCTCACACCAGCACACCCACAAACGAGAAGAACACACCTTAAAAAGGATAAAATTATAAAAAAAAACCAAAAAAAAACACCAACCCAAACACCTTGGAATTCTGATGGAGGAGGACTGAAAGCCAGCAAAAAGTTTCTTTCCTTTTCTCAGATCCATAAAAAGGGATCCCAGGAAGTGAACCTTGCAGGATCCTATCAAATTCCCTGAGTCTGGAACTACTGTTGTTTCTCTTGCAGCTCAGAAGAATTGGTGGCCCCAAATCAAGATTTTAACCCTCAGAAGCCTCTCCCCAATTTGCCTTTTGAAGGTTTGCAGCACCTCTGTCAATAACTGTGGCTGTTCCTGCTTCCCAAATTAAACTCCTGAGCTGGGAGCTCCCAGTGCTTTCTCCAAGATCCTTCTCTGTCCCTCCTGGTGTTTCCCCAACTTGCCAGTGAGATCTGGGGTTTGTACAAGATCCACCTACAGGAATTTGCTCTCTGGGAACTTTTCCCATCATTTTGCTTCTCCTATCAAACACAGTCCAGGATGAGCCACAAAAAATTGCACTCCCAAGGCCTGGAGAAAGCTGAGACTGTCCCCAGGTGGCTTCTGGAGGCCACCAAACCCAGAGCTGTCCCCAGGCCCCAAAGGCACTCCTGTCCCCAAGGGCATGCAGGAATTTTGGGGGCTTACCTGGGGCAGGGCTTGCACCACCGTGTCCAGCAGAGCTCTCATGCCCGTGGCCATTTTCAGCAGTTTCAGCACTGAAATGAGGAGCAAATCCTGCTCAGCAGGGCTGGGGGAATTGCAGGGAAAATCCAGGAGGGAAATCAAGGTTCAGGTCGTGCAGGGAGGGTTTAAATCTCCCTTAATGCTGTTTGGACATGTGGGGAGCTCTCTGCTGAAAACCAGGATCTCCCTGATCCCAGCAGGGCTGAACATCCCCCCGTCAGTCCCAAGGGGAATGCATTCCCACTGCCAGGGGGTTCTGGGATTTTGGGAAGGAATTCCTCTCTGGGAGGGTGGAAAGGGGCTGAAATAGAATTCCCAGAGGAGCTGGGGCTGCCCCTGCATCCCTGGAAGTGTCCAAGGCTAGGCTGGGATGGTGGAAAGTGTTCCTGCCATGGCAGGGGGTGGGATGGGATGGGCTTTAAGGTCCCTTCCAACCCAAACCATCCTGGAATTCTATGAAAATGGACAAAAACCTACAAGAACCCCAACGTGTCCAGGCAGGAAAATGGGAGGCACCTCACCAGTGAGGAGCATCTTCCCAAGCCCTAATGGAATTCCATCACTCCCCACCCTGCCCTGGACCTGGATAAAAGCTCAGGGATCCCAGGCTGGAATCAGAACCCAACCCCACATGAAAACCCCATGGAACCCCCACATGAAAACCCCATGGAACCCCCAGCTGCTCTCTGAGCTTCCATTCCATGTTCCCCACTGGAAATGAACCAGCAGGGCGGGAAGGACAAACATCCAAAGGATTTCCTGGAGAGCCCAGAGCAGGACCCACCTCTGGCTATCCTGAGCACCCTCATGATGCGGATGATGGTGGGGTTGATGGGCAGGGCAGCGTTCATCTCGATCTCCTCCAGAGTGATCCCCACAATGGACAGCAGGACTATGGCCAAGTCCAGCTGGTTCCACCTACACAGACACGCAGGACAAACAAAATTCAAATTATACGTATTTCATCTTAATGACAGGCACCAGCAAATCTCAAATGCATCTTTGTCGGATTAAGGTAATTATCTAAAATTACTCCTCTTGAGTTTTAATACAATATAACTTTTATAGTTCTATTTCTCCAAAGTATTTAATTTTTTTATAAAACCATCCTTTAAACTTATTTTTATTTCTATTTTTCTCTCAACAATATCTATCTTATTCTATACTATTTCCAAATCAATATTTCTTATCTCAAAGTTTATATACAAATACATATTATATCAACTTTATTTCAAGTTTTAAAAATTTTCTACAGACTTATTTCCCACACATCTCATTCTAATCTGGGTCTGTGATTTTTAGGTGGTACAAAACCAGCTCAGAGCAGCTGGCACAGACATCCTTGAGCCACAAAATATGGGAGCTGACTGGGAAGGGTTTCTGACCTCTAAGCTGAGCTGGTCAGGTCTGGTGGAAAGGGGGAATCCTGGGGGAAAAGATGCATCTGGAATTTGGGGAGACTTCCTGAATTCCTCCTGCAAAGCACCGCCAGCAGTTCTCAGGATTTTCAGTTCTTACACTACAAAGTTTGCACCCACTGAGAGCCAGCCCTGGGCTCTTCTTGTGTCACCACAGAATCTGGCTCTGAAATTGGGTCAGTCCAGCCCTGAATCCCAAATCCACAGGAGTCCAGAATTCTCTCACCTGTCCTTAAAAAACCTCCGGAAACCAAAGGCCACCAGCTTGAGCAGTGCCTCGAACACAAAGACGATGGTGAACACGTAGTTGCAGTACTTGAGGGCTTCATCCAGGGACTGGAAAGACAGATCCCAGTTAGGCCAGCCCAGTTATCCCTTCCCAGACCCCCATGGAGGGACTGGCAGGGAGCAGGGTGAGAGAAGCACAGAAATTTCAGGAATAAAGTCATAAAGGCTCGTGGAGCTCACTAAATCACCCAGCAGAACTCAAACAAAGGCTTAGCCCCTGAGTCAAACAAAACCCCCCAAAGCACTGAGATTAGTTCTGCTAAAAATGTCAAGTTCAAGCTCGGTGCACAAATTGTTCAGTCTGGGCCAGACAGGAAAAAATTCCCCCCTTCCCCATCTCCTGAAGATTCCTCGGTCTGAAGTGGGGAGAAGAAAAGCCTTGATGGATCATTTCTTGATCCCAGCCCTGGGGACAAAGGCTTTGCTTAAAAAGCTGAGGAAAATAAATAAACCTTGGAGAGATGGATGGAACCTTTCCTTGCTGAAAAATGGGGCATCTCCAGAGCTGGGCAAAGCGTGTCCATATTTGGTGCAGCGCTGCCGCTGTCCCCGGAGCCGCCCTCGGAAGTCAGGAATCCACAGTGTTTATACTCGGGCATGATGAGTGTTTATAATGGATTCCATTGGAGCTGGGGGCCAACAATAGCAAAGGAATCTTGTGGGGAATCTTAAAATAGACAAGCTTGGGAGAGGGGGAGCAGCTCTTGGCGTGGGGAGGGATTGGGGGGTTTAGTTTAGTGTAGAGCAGGACTCTGAATGTTCAATTAAAAATGGGAATTGAGAGCATCAAACTGGACAAAAATGGAAATAAATGTGACAGAGGAGGCTGCAGGAAACCCCAGGGCACAGGAAAGCTCTTTTTGTGCCCTCTGTGGGATGCCTGGCTTTGCTGACCCCACACACAGTGAGGTCACCAGGGCATGGCCATGCCCTGATTTTTTGGGAATGGGAGCTGGAAGTTTCTTAGGTGTTGGCAACAATCCCTATTTTTGTACCAGTACCTAAAATAAAAAGGCAGCTTAAAAAACACAGGACAATTCCCTGTTCCATCCAAAGCCCGAGCCTGACTTCTGCCACCGTTTGTGACCGTTTGCATTTGGATTTACAACTCTGTGTTAAGTGAACGTAAACCAAGAGTAAATAAAACCTAGCCTGGATAAACAACATTTCCATGGAATTACCCTGGTGTAAAACACACACACACATTACCCTCTGGCTCAGCATCCAGGAGGCATTTGCAGGTTACCATGGAATGCTGGAAAAGTAAATGCTGAGCCAGAGCTTCATAAATGATAATGAAATGGAAAATTTATAGATGGAAAATGTATAAATTGATAGAAATTTATCTATCAGCCCCTATGATTTCTGTCAAAGGTGTTCTGAGGGGAGAATGATTTTATAATACATTTAAAAAATGAGGATTGTACTTTTAAATTTGGTTTATTCAGAATCCATTGAGGAAAAGAAACACTCTGCATGCTGTAACTCTGAGTTTATATCTGTTAATGGAATGTTCTAAAACTCTGGACTGTTTTCCAGTGTGAGGCTCAGTCAGGTTTGGGATCAGGGCAGGAAATATTTAGATTGGCCTTTTCCTGGTAAAAGCTTAATTCACTCTCCATTAGCTGGGGTTTTTTTTACCCAAAGCAGGGAAATGGAAGTTTTCCCTGAGGCAGAACAGGATCAGAATGTTGAGGCTCCCCAAAAACTGGGGGTGCCTTTTTGGGGCTACCTAAAAACAGAGGCTGGACAAAATTAGGGGATAAAAAGTGTTTCTATTTATTGAAGGCCCTTCAGGTACGTTTAGGGCAGACAAAGGCTACACCCAAAAATGGACCACGGGTCAGGGGTTTTCACACTTTTATAAGTTTGGGCTGTTTGCATATTGGGGGTTAATCTGCCAATTACAGCTTCAGGTAATGAAGTAATTTTCCTCAAGTTTGCACTTTTGTTTACATTTCTGGGGCCTGAGCCAGTGAGGTGTCCTTGACTGCCTGGCCTGGAGAGGAATTGTTGTGTCTGCCCAAAATGGGAAAGCAGCAGCTCCTCACACTGCACATGGCATTTAGAGTTACACACTAACGAATTACAGCGTTACAAACACATGAAAAACATAAAATCTAAAACATCTAAAAATCTTAAAAATCTAAGATCTAAAACCTTAAACATCACTGGAAGTGTCCCCATGGCCAATTTCCTCCCAGGGAAACTGTGCTGGGGCAGCTCCTACCTTGGGCTGGTTGTAGTGCTACACTAGAGTTACACACTAAAGAACTTGAACATTACAAATACATGAAAA